CGAGATATTGAAATCGAAAAAGTTTAACCTCCATATATATTGTTGCAATTTTTTGAGCTAATATGGTAATTGTCTAAATGTTTTGGACAGCGGGTACGATTGTTCGTAGAGTTCGTGACTTCACGAAATATATCAACGGCTCGCCACAGCGACTGCAAAACTTTAAAAAAGTTGCGGATGTAGTCGCAGCAGATGTTACTGCGAAGAAGCTGGTACAAGATGTGTCAACGTGGTGGAATTCGACTTGGGCAATCTTGAAGCGTGCATTTTTACTCCGCAAAGTCATTGGAGCCTACATAGACAGCGGCTACGAGCTTCGGAAGTATGCGCTTGAAGAACATGATTGGGCTCTTGTGCACGAAATTATTAAGCTGCTTGAACCGTTAAAAGAGGTATTTACCAAATTTATTGCCGGGGACTCATGTGTTAACATTTTATTTATTTTATTTTTGTTTTTAGGCTACGGTGTTGTTGTCATCTGCACAGTATCCCTCTATTATGGCATCTGCACCAGTATACTCCATGCTATTGGAGAGCATTCAAGCAACTCTTCGTTCATATGAAGGTGCAGTTCTTGAATCATCGATCCGGGCTATGGTGAAGAAGTTGCAGGCATACAAGGAAAAAGCTGATGGTCAGTACGTATACAAGCTTGCAACAGTCTTGGATCCTCGAATCAAGTTGATTTTTTTTAAAGATTCTAACGAGGACATGTGGGAGATACGCGATCAGCTGTTGCACAGAGCCAAAGTGTACGATGCTCATGAGCAGCACCAAGCAACCACAGCGAGCTCAGAAGAGAGCAACTCGAACTCTTACGCTAGTCGACTCTACAAAAAGCGTAAGACACATGATCTCGATGACGAGATTGACCGTTATTTAAATGGTGAAGTGGAAGATTCCGACACGGATCCATTGCTTTGGTGGAGATCAAAAGCTTCGACGTTTCCAAGCTTGACGGAAATGGCACGGGCATACTTGTAAATTCCGGCAACCAGTGTAATAAGTGAAAGAATCTTTTCTACGAAAAGGAGAATTATTACTGACTCCCGCGGATCATTGAGTGCTATCAATTCAGAAGCACTCATGTGTTTGGAAAATTGGATCAAGAACGATTTTATTGGTTTTGTAAATGTAAATCAATATGATGACATCGGCCGGAATGGAACGAGAAGAACGAAGAGTTTCATACGGATTCAGAACAGGTAGACAGAATGTTGATGACACGATCACACCTAATGACCACGATCAAATATACTTTTGTGCTCTGATTATTTTGTTTGACTACTGTAGCAAGTTTATCAGATCGTACAGAGCATCCACTGACCTCATCTAACTCTGAACAGGAATTGAACTTGTCTACTTTACAGAAACACATTCTACACTCACCAACGAATTTTGCAGCTCTGTTTCAATTTAATAGTGTGTGAGATAAGATGTCATGATCGTCTATTACATCGTTAGAAACAGATTTGTGAATTTTTCTTTACCAGCGGTGAAGCATCTGTAACGTCGCGAGCCGTATGTTGTCCTTAATGGAGAGAGCGAGGTGTCGATGAGTTTAAAACTCTGAGTAGCCAAGCCTTTACTATTCTATGTTTTAAGGGCTCTCAGCGCTCTAATCAATATCGATATAGAAATTCAACAGATTTTTTTATGTTAGCGTCCACCCGGGCACGACCGCACGCGTGGCCATAATTCGGTGAGCACGAGACGACAAGGCAACGCGCGAAAAGAAAATAGAATTATTGAATAGTGATGAAGGACCCAGATGTAGCCACACTCGTGGCCCAGCGGCTAGAATTCTGGCGCCGTAGCATGCGTAAGGCTCTGGACAGCAAAACCAGACGTTAGTTATCTTCAATCAGCACGTCATCGGCAATGTAGGTCTCATTTTTGCTGATACGTGGCCCATCGGCTTGTATCTTCGACGCCGACGCATACGTAAGGCTCTGGACAGCAAGCCAGACGTTACACCTCTCTCCTTCTCTTAGTCCGCCCTAAGTGATGTTGGTCCCCTTCCGAAGCTTGCGCGGCCCACCAGCTTGTATCTGCATTAATGGAGCATACGCAAGTCTCTGAACAGCAAATTAGAGGTTGTATCTCTTACAGTAGCTCTCGATCAGCAATATTACTCCACTTACCGATTCTTGCGCGTCCCACCGGCTTGTATCTACATCTTCATACCTCTAGCAAACGCGAGTCGAGGATGAACGAAAAGCAGCCGCTATATTTCTTTCTTGGCATCTACAGCACGATCTACAGACACACGCGCAGCGTGTCCAAGCCCAAGGCAACGCCTCACCTTGGCTGTCGCTAGAAAGAATTGGCTTGAGCTTAAATGTGAATGTTTGGAAATCCAATAAAACGATGTGGTACACACATAAGTTTTAGCTGGTCCGGGTCCTGGGTCGGGGTCGGACCCGGACCAATGGCCATGGGTCGGAGCCCTACTCGTAAGTGCTGTAGAATTCTGTCCTTATGACATTATTCCGAGAATTTAACTCTTATCGTTATATTCTAGTAACAATTTCTTATAAATTGTTATGTAACGATTCACCCCGTTACACCCTTCGTCTGACATATTGCACCGAGGTGCCGATGTTGTACGGTGACAATCCACCACTTTCCCAAAAACTATACCGAGTCCACCAAATATATACACCTTTAGTATTGATAAACTCTCACCGACTTACCAGGCTTGCCCGATACAATGAACACGAGAGTTCGTGCACTCAAATGTCGACTTTCAGCCAAAACGAAACATGACGGCTGTAAACGAATGCCCGATATGACCTATGACCTCAAGCGGGAGAGGCTTCAAAAGTACAGCGCATAATGCCTGGGATCGACACCACTATCATTAAATCTTGTGACCTTGCTGTAGGTGTGAGTTGTGATTAAAAGCTGCAGATAGCACGCAATCACTAGCACCTACTTGCAATGCCCTACGTTTTCTCTTAATTTTGAAGAGTACCCACATGTTTATGAGCAACCTATCAGGCTAGGCACGAATGATGACCATCCTTCTCCCAGTCGGTACTTAAAAGGCACATTATAAATACGAAACTTAGGACTAACACGAGCACAAAAATCGTTTCTGCCTTTTTCGTCGACTTCGTTGACTTGTTGTCATTCGCTTCAGTGTTTTGCTTCAAGACAACCGAGATGCATTCATAGAGAAGTTCACCAACTTAGCCAGTCAGCATCGGCGCTAGTTAAAGAATCGTAAAGGGGGGAAGGAATACGAAAAAGAGCAACACGGGTGATAGTTTTTGTAGAGTATTGTGTCTGATGCATCTCCGTGTTAGTGTTCTTCAACTTTTGTGTAAAGTCGTGAACTTCCCTATCGTTATATTTTCACCTCGACGACACGTCGCCAGAATATCATAATATTCAGCAAACAGGCCTGAATGCCTCTCCTGCTCGAGTCAGCCGACCTGACCGCAAACCGGGAAACCCTTCCCAAGAGCAGGTCGCATACAGGGGTCCATGAACATGGGTAGAAACTGATCTGCGACAAGTTTTCTAGATTGATGACGGCCAGGCATCATACAGCCCAAAACGATTATGCCAAGAAGACGTCATTGCGATGAGTTTTCGCTAGTCAGAGGTAAATTGCCATCATCAACGATCAGATTCAAAAAATCCCTCGGACTTGGGCCCGAAAACCTAATCTGTGGAATCAAATCTGTCTATTGTTGCTCGATCGACGTACTATTTTTCATACCTCGTACAGACTCCTAGTTAGGCTTGATTGTGCTTACGTGCCAGACAATTCTTTCGACTTGGAATATGATGGCTCATGGACACAAACATTCCGTTGTAACATCTTACGTAACTCCGACCGGAGCGCGCTTCATTACAGTGGTAAAATCTTACGTACTCCGACCGAAGCACGCTTCCAAGAAAACTTACTAGACACATCTTTGGCAATATGTGACCGTAGATGCTTCTGCCTTAATCTCGATGTTTCACACATAGACTCCTTGCCGCTGTCCTAGTGCCAAAAATGTACTGTATGTTTACACATTTTTCGCAGCAGGACAAGCAAGATGTGGTAAACACAGCAAGTTTAATCCTGCCCGGAAGGCTTTGCCTGAAGTTTCAAACTGTACGCAATCCAAATCGATTCAGTCAGACACCTTGCTCCGATGCCATCAAGACCTTTATCTCTCTAGCAGGATCTAAGTCAACCGTTGCCCTCGGACATTTAACTCAAAGGTGGCATAGAGAAAGCTCACGTGTTGCAATTCACATAAACAGATGAGTCTTGCTAACCGAGACGTTCGTCCGATCGAAAGTGAAATTTTCGGGCACAAATTCTTGCTCAAGACCAAGCCACCGGCTATCCCCAAGCCGTTATAGTTGTAACACGCGCACTATACGACCGCGGTAAAAGCCGCGTTTGTTGTAGCCATAGCAAGGGCAATGAATTGCAATTTGCATGTCCAATGCACAGCGAGCTAGGCGCAGGTGTTGAGCATCTGCTTAGGCAACTCTGTCGTTGTGTTGTTAACACAACCCCTCGATGTCCCCGTCGTCACCAAACGCGGTATGAAGGGCCCTAGAAAGAGGTTCCAACCGAGACTGTTAGATCCTTAATCAACGCATCGATGGTCCACGAGCGTCGTTGAGTGACGTCGCCAGCAAGACAGAGATTGCGTGGGTTGAATCGTGAACGGGGGGAAAGTATCAGCTTGATCACATCCCAGTTGGTTTTTGTGTAAAGAGTTCAGCAGGCTGACGAGTCTCTACGTACCAGGGATCCCACCGTCTGCTTTGCAGGAACGCACGAAGTGACGATTTGGGATGCGTACATGCGAAGCCACGATCCACGACACGACGAACACCCTCATGGTTGTTAAATGAACGACACCGTGGAGGTTGTCGAGGTAACAACACCCTGGAGGTTGTTAATAGTGCACCAAACCATTCAGCAATCTGCCACGTCCTAACGATCAAGCTCTACGTGAATTAAACAACCCGACCATAAGAACATGAAGGTGGCGTTGAGCACCGCAATGATGACAGCGGCCTTTTCCGTGGCTTACGCGGCAGACACTTGTGACCAGTGGGGTCAGATCAAGTCGACTAAGTTCACTATCTACAACAATCTGTGGGGATCTAGTGCGGCCACTGGAGGCGGGAAGCAGTGTACCGGACTGGATAGCGGCTCCGGAGACACCGTCGCATGGCACACAGTGTGGTCGTGGATGGGCGGCAACACAAGCGTCAAGTCATACGCCAATGCCGCGCTGACTTTCGACGCCGTCCCTCTGACAGAAGTGGACTCCATTCCGTCGTCCATTGAGTTCGAGGTCAAGTACAGCGGGGAAGCCGTGGCCAACGTCGCCTACGACTTGTTTACCAGCTCGACAGCTGAAGGCGAGAAGGAGTTCGAGATCATGATTTGGATGGCTGCCATCGGTGGCGCTGGCCCCATCTCGAGCACGGGCAAGCCGATCGATACAACCAAAATTGCCGGCGTTGAGTGGAGTGTCTTCAGCGGACCCAATGGGCAAATGATGGTGTACTCGTTCGTTGCGTCCAAGCCGAGCAACAACTTTGAAGGTGACCTCATGGAGTTCTTCGACTACCTGGCGAAAAGCCAGAAATTCAAGCTGAGCCAGTATCTGATCAAGGTGGAGTGTGGTACGGAGCCGTTCATCGGCAAGGACGTGTCCCTGAAGGTATCGAAATACTCGACCGTTGTGAAGACGGGCAAAGGCGGCTCGTCTACACCTGCTGACTCAAGCGCCGAGAGCGATGATGATGTCACCCAAACGGACCCTACTTCCAGCTCGGACAACGAAGTGGGGGATGAAGCTGAAGCGGGTGATGATTTACTCAGTGCTTCAGGGGGTACTCCGTCTTCGGATGATAAGGCCACGAAAGCGTCCCCAGATGACGAGACTGCCGAGCCCGGTGCGGAAGTGGAAACGGAAGGAGAAGAAGAGAAGGAAGAGACAGCAGACTTGGAGCCCGAGTCGTCTGCTGGCAAAGAGGAGCCCGATTCTACTCCGGCCGATGAGACCTCTGCCACGATAGCCATTCCGACAATAAAGTCCAAGTGCACCCTACGCCGCAACTAAACGCGATTCGTTCGAACCCGAACAATTGATGAGCGTTGCAGCTGCCGAGCACGTGTACCGTTCACTTTTCATCAGCAGTTGACATTCATTATGACGGATGTTCGATCACGATTGTAAAGTAGATGCGGGTCATCTTCGTGTCAAAAGTTTATAATGTTCACCGTCAGTTTTACGTTTGTAATTTTTTTTATACTTGAGTGCGCAGCGTGATTTCCCACTTTCGCACAGCGAAGCACAACAACGCGCAACTGTGGTGCTTTGAGTGCACAAATCATCTTCGTTCGACCTTAGTGATTGCAAACTTCTCCATTGCACGTAGTCACTGGTACTGCCAAGCAGGTTAAGCAGACCACACTGGTCGTTTCAATTCAACCAGCACCAGGTCAAGCAAGAGAAAGACTCACTAAATACTTCAGTTCTTTACTCAGTCATCCTTCATCAAGCACAGCACAACCGAGCATCGCCAAGCCCGCGCACACGAAGAGCGCGACGTGTGCCATGCTTGTATATTCATGCTCACCACAAAACGGCGAAAACAATCGTTCAAAGCAGGCGACCACCTATGACGTCTGGGATCGAGCAGATAACCTCAGTATCTACGGACCGCTCGGACGTTGGCTGGCGGATATGAAGATCAACCAGCTTAGACGGCGGCGAACATTCCAGAGTTCGGCGTCACCAGCCAACACGGAGCGATTCTTGCAGCAAATCTGCTCGCCGTTGATTAATCCCGCACATGCACCCGCTCTATCGACGGAAACGCAAAGTTTTGGATGATTCGCGGCGAGGACGCGTCCGTGGAGGAAGTACACACACTGACTTGATCTCGTCTCTCTTTCACTTGCACCAATCGCTGACCAGCTTAAGTTCTATGTGGCCTGCTGTTTTCCGCTGTAACGGCGATTTTGGTGGTAAAGTTGGTACCTGACATTTTGCCACAACTTGGTTAAAACAAAACCGTGCTAAATAGCTAAATGTTGTTAAAACAGGGTCAAGTGCCGCGATTTCTTATGCTGCGTCTCGTACCGCTGCTTTTTATAGATTGCCATTGATCCGCTACTAGTGGCACTCCTATTTCTTGAGCTTTAAGCGTCACGATACACGTGAAATAATGTGAACAGCAACTAGTGTCCAAAAGGATGTGAGAGAAAAAGAGAGAGAGAGAAATTAAGCATCCAAATGATCGTGTTTTCATCCGTATAGAGAAAAGAAACAGTTTCAACTACGTGTGCTTGTTTTTGGCTGTGCACATTTTCTCTAAAAATCATTTCCAGAGTGGATTTAACTCGCCACGTCGTTGTTACGAGAGAAAAAAAACATCCGGAACTCGTGCAACTTGGATTTGTATAGGATAGACCGGGCGCCTGTGCACGCGCTTGGCACGCGACCGTTTACCTACTGAAGCCTATTGCTTCCTACTTAATACGGAAAGGGTGGTGGCGGTGGTTTCTTCTTCCGACAAGGGAGAGGGACCGCACGCACGGACAAAAAGAGCGCTCTAAACCTCATAGCAGCCTTCACTTGGCTTTTCGACCGGCAAGCAAGCAAACAGCCGCGTATCGAGAGCGCGCACTATTCAGAGCGTTTCTAAATCGGATTCGGCTATTTCAAGTACTATTTTCCACCACTGAGCACACGACGAGCCTCTCGGTTTAATTTACACACAAAGTGCGTGAATAAATATCCACTTGTTTTGGACCACGATGAATAGCGTGGTCTCGCCGCTGCGGATGAGCATGACGCCAGGCCGCGCCGCGCCAGCGACTGCGACAGGATCTTCCGGTCACCGTCAGCCACGTCGCCAGCAGCGGGTGCGCAACTTACGTCCTGCGACGTCGAGTCCGGACGACGTGAGGACTCATCAGTCGCTTGGTCCAAGACAGATGGTACAGGGGTACGCTGGAGGGTACGCTGGACTGCAGGAGGGTAGATTCACGGGGCAGCCAGCGCGGTCCCCGTCTGTTCGGGACAGGAACGAGCAGTTATTGAGCAACAGGTTACAAGAGAATTCAATGAAGACAAGTACGAGTCACGAGCTGCAGGTCAAGCGCCAGTTGGTGCAACAGGAGAGGGAAGAGGAGCTGGCGGGCCGTCCGGCAATGATTGCTATGGACCAAGATGATCTACCAGCTCTGTACCTCAAGCAAGAACGACGTTCTGGAGACAGGAGAGCAGAGTCTTATTATCCAGACGGGAGCAGGGGTGAAAAAGCGCGTGGACATTTCACGACGGGAGGCGTGTCTCATGGAAACTGCAGAAGCAGTCGGGCAGTCAGTGGAAGCAGACTTAATGTCCAGAGTCATAGCAGTCGCAACAGTGCAAGTCGAAGTCGTGGTTCGAGCTCGAGCAATTACCATCGTCAAAACGCGGGAGCTGTACGTCACGTGGACAATGATCAGTGCCAGCCTGCTCCTGCACGTACTGAAGCTCCTGCTGCACGCCAGCAGGTCTCTTCGGTTTACACGTCCGTGCCGGTTCGTGCCGCAGTGAAGCCGGCTACACGGACTGAGCCGATAGTGTGGCGTGTTGCGATGGACCCCAAGTCAAAGAGACCCTACTACTACCACACGATCACCTGGGAGACGACATGGAAGAAACCGGCAGAATTGGTGGCCGCTGAAACACGCGAGAAGCGTCAGTTTTTTTCGGTGATGGAGAATAACATTCGCCTAAAGCTGCGGGATGGCTATTATACGCGCGACAGTGAGACATCAAACTCGAACCACAGCACACCTGATGCGGTCCACAAGCCGCATAACGAGGTGTCCCCACGTACCTCGTGCCGCTCGTCTGCGAGTACTGCAAGTACACGCAGCAGCTTGAGCTCATACACGGGTGGATCCGGAAGGTCTTTACCCGGGTCCGCGCGGCAGCTCATTATGAGCTCTACACGGTCGCTGCCCGCGACTCCGGAAGTAATGGACGTGCCGTATTTGGGCCCGACTGAGACGCAGCCCCAGCAAGAACCCGAGTCCATAGCGCGAGATTCAGAAGAAAGTCGTGACAGCATGAAACGCCCGTCGTTGTTCAGGACGCTGTCGTCCTATGAAACGCCCGTTATGACCTCGTGTCGCAAAAGTGGTGATGTTGTGGACTTGGAAGAGGTCGGCTGTAACGCTCCTATCTCTCTTGTTACACCGTCGCCAATTCAGGAGTGTGTGTGTCTGGCAACCCTGATGTCGCGGGCTTCAGATTTAGAGACTTATGCTCGTGCTGCTGGAGCGGCCAATGGATATGGCAGGCCGTCCCTGCAGGCTCTATCTGGAAGAGGCAGTTCGGCGTCAGCGCTTGTGAATGCTCAGGCTTTTGGAAGCAAGGGTGCTTTTGTGAACAAGCCATGCACGGTGCGACGTCGTTCCAACAGCACTAACTCCATTTATTTGCGAATGGGTACAATGGATACGCCTGATCAAGATGCCACGATTCAGTGTGTGGCAACTGTCTTACGGGCGCACATGATGGAAGCGCTGGAAGATCCGATTCGATCCGAACCGCGCTTTGATGTATTTGTGACAGCGCACGACCACCAGTGCGTCCCGTCTCTTGTAGACGAATTGAGTACTAAAGAATCTTGTTTCGCAGAGATGGAGAACAACAATGTTATGGTGGATGTTGTCCCCACGCTGTCGGAAATCGCTACTTTTGTCAAGCACGTGTTTTCCCGTGCTCAGATGGAGTCAGAGTGCATTATTATGAGTCTCGTGTATGTGGAGCGTCTTTTGAAGGCCACAAGCGGTTCTCTGCAGCTACGCGGGGAAAATTGGCAGCGATTGGTGTTTTGCTCGATGGTCATGGCTTCGAAGGTCTGGGACGATTTGAGCATGACCAACGCTGACTTTTCCAGGATCTGGCCGGAGCTCTCGCTGAAGCTAATCAATGAGCTGGAGCTTGTGTACCTGAGTGCCGTGGAGTACAATGTCCGAGTGTCGGCTGCGTCGTACGCAAAGTACTATTTCCATCTGCGGTCCATGTGTGCTACGATGGGTTTGCTGGAAGCCTTCGATGAAAGTGCACCACTAAACCTCGATGGTGCTCGTAAGATGCAGGTACTGTCGGAAGAATATCAGGAGCGATCGAAGCTAATGCCGGCTCCCCGCCGCCGTAGTGTGACGATCACGAGCACGTCAGTTGGCGAAAGTATGCAGACCGGTGGCAGTGCAAGACGCCTCGAGGTCGGTGGTTCATCAGCTAGGCTGACGAAAGCTTCGCCTGCCGCGAGTCTTGAACAGCTCGTGCGAATGCAGTTACGCGTTGCTGGTGGTAGCTCGCTTCGGTCGTCAATGCATCGCTTGACCACAGCGAAGCAGTGAGCGATGTCGATAAGCGTCTTCAGCCCTGCGATTGAGTGTGAGGGTGGAGCCTGGAGAGCGCGTTGAAGGGTGGAGTGTTGACGAGGTTTTTTTATATTGATGAGTGAGTGTAGTGATTTGAGCTGTGCCTTGTAGCTGTTGAAGAACTTCTTGGAGAAGTCTCTGTATTGTCCAGCGCCGACAACCCTGCGTGAGCTGGCATGCACGTGATAGAAACGACGCAAAGTGGTCATGGATGGAGAGAGAGATGTAAGTGAGTGACGAAAAGCTGGATGCTGTTGTAAGTACCAGAATAAAAAGACGTGTGGAATTGCTATTGCGAAGTGTTTGCGTGTGATTTTCGGCGTGATTGCTTGCTTATCTTCCGCTACAGCAACGAGATGGCGTAGGTTTCTAATTCGGAGAAACTACTGGGCCTCGTATATGATGTCAACCTCTTACTTCGTCCAGCTGAAGCATAGCAAACGAACGTTGTTATTTTTGCTTTTGCCGGTGCCAACATCAAGTTTAGAAACTACATCGTGCTATAGATCGTCGAACTAATTTCTCGGTCGTAGTTGTTTGGTGCGTAGCATGGTATTAACCAGCCTTCATGCCTGTCGAATTGTGATCGAGCCAGACTTTGACTTGCAGGCACTGGAAGAGTGGACACACTCCATGATGTAGTCGAACAAGCAGCATCGACTGTTCGGTAAAAAATGTGAGGAAAAAAACATCTCGAGCAAAAGGCATCAGGTGTCCAAAGCTGTACATCATTTGGACCGAGGTGCTTACATGGATGCGTTTATGGCGCTGATTTGACGGCTACAACAAGAAAGTCTGGTCACAAACCAACATGTACTTGGCATGGTAGCGGCATCCACCTCATCCGCGTACGCAGCTTTAGAGCTTGTGAAAGATGCTGGACGGTTTGATGTCAACGCAGCAGTAAGCAGCTTTCGCTTTAAAAACATTCGTAACGTCCGGAGCTAACGGCAAACGAGCCTTCTTTGGTTTCAACGTTGCCCCTTAGGCCAAACAAACCTCTGTACCACCGACTACTGTTTCAGAATCCACGCTACTCAAAAGCTCCAGCCTTGCAAACAGTCAAGTAGGCACAATGAGTTGTTCTATCAGTGCTCCAACAATGCACTTGATTGCTGAGGACAGTATCATTTCCAAAAGCCGTGGAACATCGGACGTGAATGATACTGAGTGCAACTGAGTGTTGATGTTTGCAGCATCCCACGAGATGGTAGCCGAAGTCCAATTCATATCCAGGTCCAACGTCGTAGCAGCAGCACGGGTACTACCGATGACTTCGGCATAAAAATCGTGCATCAGGTGCGCCCGGTTCAAATCCACCTGAACCGATGATCTTGGCTGACCTTCATCATGCGCTACCAAACCACGGCAGTGCTGGGATCGAAACGAAGTATAACTGCGTAATATCGTGCAGGAGTCACGATCAGGTCAGCGCGAAACGGGTCAAGAAAACAAGTATTGAATATTGAGTACAAAAACCTGCTAGAAAAGACTCGAACGCGCGCGGGTTGCTATTGCAATACCAACGAACGTCAGTAAAAGTGCTCCGATTGCACTCTTACACAACCAACTTCGCTAAAAGTTAAGGTGCGATCCTTTCATTCATATAGATGCTAGCCCGTAGCGCAGTCTGCTTGCGAGGATCTGCTCGTCACGCTCACAACACGGCAACAGGTCACTAAGAACTGACCAACCGGAAAGACGACATTGCAATTAATTACCTGAATGGTAGAAACATCCGTAAACTTGACTCATCCATAAGAAGGGAGTTCAGGGCTGCAGCATGCGCTAATGTGGACCTATTCACACACGATACGATCAGGTGCATTATCCACAGCTACATTTTTCCAATACCAGGTTTCGAAACCAGACCTTTAGTACCCCGGCGTGTAAGCCACGCTCTTGCAACACCAGAATGCCATCCTGACCCCAACAAATTGTCGTGCCAATGTTTTCACAAGTACTCACGCTTATGTCGAGCTCTGAAACAAACCTTCGCGATACGTGTACCAGAAACATGCCACCCAAACTCCACGCTTTGCAGCGAAATGTCGCGCAGAACTACCTTGCAAAGCGCGACAACACCCAGCACCTCATCAAGTGCTAGAAGCACAAGTAAATCACATTCTCCAAAGCCACAAGCACAAATTGTTGGTGTCACTGCTGAGTGTCAGTACACATACCAACGTATGAATTATTGCACCATGAACCTTGATCAGGTGAATCGCAAGCTGCCATAGCACTGCCGGCACTTATTTCTCCAAGTATTTGTACTCTTCTTTCGCAGTTGTGCCAGACAGACGTGAGTTACGGCTTCCTGTACACAACTTTGGGTAGAATCTGCGAGATTAACACCACTCCTTGAACTGAGGAGACGCTAGATAGACACGTGCTTGAGCAAGCCTAGCTTGGGTGACAATTAACTTGCATGGTTCGACTGCAAGAGTCGAGACAAGACTTTCCATTTATAGGCAACTCAACAGATTGCAAGTTACGAGAAAGAGAACGGACATGAGCTCGTAGCGGCGCACCTAAAGTCTGGAACCATCCACTCTAGACACAAGCAAACGTCAGTAAACTGATCAAGCGTGTGCAAAGACTCTACAAGCAAGACGGACGATGATCAAGTCGATAGCCAGCGTGAAGACTGGTTGCCGTTGCATTGACTTTCACCGAGATATCTCTACATCCAGATCACAATTCTGTCTTCAGGCTCGACGCTATCAATACGTGAGATGTGAAATTGCAATTCTTGAGAACATCCGATGTATTGTTCGCTCGATGCTTTTCGTTAGAGAGACAATGGCTTCTGCTCATGTTCCTGATGATATTCAGGGCTGAATCCTCCGTTGCTAGCTCGCTGTGCATATCCAGTAGTAACTCGGTTGGCGTTTTGAAGTACCGGTGACGGGCTTCGCTTCCACGTCGCACGCATCGAAACACCATCGATTTCCGGATACCGTTCTGCAAATGAAGGTGTGCGCGGTGTCTTCAATAATGTTTGCAACACCGCATCGCGCTGTTCCGGGCTCTCATGTAGATAACGAAACTTCTTGAACACTTTCATAGCATAACGAGCATCAATAACAGGGTCATGATCCGCCTCCTGAATTTCGTGTCCAAGCAAGTGTTTGGCCACATGTCGCAGAGAAAAGTAGCGGTAGCGCACCACGCCATTCATCGATTGCATAGGCAGTCGGAACAGGTCAGCCACATCAAATTCGCCCTTGTAATCCGTCGGCTTCTTCAGCATAAGCCATTCCAAATCCTTCTTAATCGACTGGCCCACAATAACGCTTTCCACCGGCAAAACCTTTTTAAGCCGGACAAGCGCCTCTTTCAGATCAGGAGCATCTGCAAGGTTTCTATCACCCACGACAAGCAAGTAAGCTACAGTGTCAAGCGTGTCCACCCCCAGATCACCTTCTATCACATTTCACATGACTCACCTCGCCGTGATACCCGTTAGCTGTGTGAGGTAGCTTACAACAGGTTTTGTAGGCTTGACATACTGATCAAACACCACTTGCTCGTCCTCGTCCACTACTGCAATTCGCGCAACATCTCGGTCGCTATGTTTTCAATTCAACGGTACACACACACACACGCAAAACAAAAACGAAACACTGTCAACGACCGCACTCGCCATCTTTATCCAAGGACCCAACAACCACAACGCACTCGTTGCCGCTGCCCGTGGCTACACACTCGACATCAATAGCAAAGAACTGTCACACACATACGCAATCAAAACAACAGCAGCAACGATAAGGTGAAGAAGAAGAAAGGAGAAAAAACACACACACGGTAAGCAACAACACCACCACCAACGTCACGGATAGCAGCTATTAAAGTGAATGATATCTAGCACCGTACCGGTCCTTGAATGACTCTCGTAAGCACCGGCAGGATCTCACAGATCGTCTCAGTCTTCTGTGCATCTTTTCCATGCCTCTGTCCTTTCTGGCGTGCACTCACGAATTCAGTGGCATGATATCCCAAGTACTCGTCTCCAGTATCAGCACTTGACGGCCCATGAAGGTCCAAGTGCTGGAAATGCTGGAGCTGATCACTGTACTGGTGCTGCTGCTGCTGATTCTTGTACTGATAATTGTAATAGACCACACTTCCACTGTCACCATCCACGTTACTACCTTCCGAATAATCGGGAGGCAAAGGCGGCTGTTGTTGCTGCACTGTTCGGCTTAGTCTTCGTAACCCCTCATCACTTCTGACGGCACCAAAAGCACCTTCAGAAGCTCCGTGAGCGTATGGACAAGTGGTTCCATTGCGACAGCCACTTGAAGACGCAAAGAAGCGACAGGCGCGTGAATCCAGTGACTCCGATACAAAGTTCGACTTGCTCATGCTCCTGTTCGTGTTGGTGGTTGCGTCACCATGAGTCACCACGTGCTTTTCAACCGCGTCTTGTGCCGTGCCGATACAAAAGCTGAGATCGTGACGAAATGCGCACGAGCCACCGCGAAAACAGCCACGGGACGACTGGAAGAAGCGGCACGTCGAGCTGCTGGAGTTCGTAGCATCACTACTGGTCGTCTGCATGGAAAAATCAACACTGCCGCAATTAATGCCAATGAATGAATGAATGAGAACAAGCAAATGCGCGCTATAATCGAAAGTGAACAAACGATTGGGGGAGACCGAGTGCATAGTAGACACGAGTATAAACGAGCCCGCTGGAATCTCGCACGCGGAATCAGAGCCAACGTGATCACAAATAAGAAGAAAGAGAGCTAGTAGGGCCATACCGAGTAGCACTTGTTTGTACTTTGCCTGAAAAAGGGACAGTTTAGAAACGATAGACTGCGCTTTATCTCTTCGACTTTTTCATTCCCTCCCTTGTCCTTCGTAGCATCATTTGTTAACCAGGATACGAATGGGCGTGCTTCGACTTTTGACAGACGGTACGACGTAAAACTCCATGATGATGGACAAGTGTTGCACTCGATGGGTATTGGCCATCACCCATCGGCCGTAGGTTTCAAGTATGAATATCTCACTGGACTCTTTGTAGACTACTTGCACGTCGCAGAGCGTGTTTGCCCATTATGTTGAAAGGCTCTATCGTGAGCATGCTGCTGCATGACGATCCGCGTGAATATCTCGCCAGTCATGGATGCACGTGGGTTATCGCCAGCAGTATTACAACCGCATCGGCGCGTACGACCGAAAAGGATGTCGGTCGTGCAACGTTTGACTGCTCACGTGCATTTCGCCGTGACGAGGCAAGCATGTTATGCATGATGTTGCAGCAGCGAACACGTCTACACATGACAAGACGTTATTGCTGAACAAAATCCAGAAGGGAGGTGCACACAAATCCTGTGGATGCGCTCTACTGCGTCGTGTGAGCAATGAAAGAACGATCAGTCGATTCCGACAAGACGAAGAGTTTTGTGGACTGCACGGGCGTCATGCTAAACAATAGTCTGCACCAGCCATCCGCTCAACAATGGAAAAGCTCGGGATTGAACAGCCGCCACGTCAAGTTTATTCTACTACATGTCATGCATCCACTTTTAGCTGGTGACTCAGAAACGCGCTCTTGTGATCTCGTGATGACTTTTGCAAACACGTTGATCTGCACAATTATAGCTGCGATACTCGCCGGACTGAGACGTGCTGTTCACACGTCTGCAATCAGCGTGTCTTTCTCTCGTCTGCGACACCTATCCATTGCGTCAAGTCCGGCTCTGTCGATCTAACACATCATGTCATACGTACGCCCCGCTTCCATTGCGAAGCTTTGTCATACATCATCATCAGGTCCTTCCGACTCGGTACATCCATTCAATGCGTCACACACTTGCAATCATGCGCGCAAACGGTAGAGCTGCTGCTGCTGCTGCACTTGGTACCGGTGCTGCTACAGACGCCGGTTTGGTCACAGAAGCGTGCTTGACAGCTGAAGCCAAAGTTGATATACACGATGTCGTCACATGAGACTTGACTATGTGTGTAGCCATCGGTGGTATAGCCACCCCACTGGTGGCAGATATTGGAAATGTATACCCAACGGATGCTGAAGGGGGCAAGGATGGTGTCATATCGGTCTTTGCGTCGCTACTGTTCTCAAGCACACGCACGAACCGACCCTTGATCCGCGGACGGTCATCTGCCAGCTTCTTCCGGCAGTCGTACTTGATGCTCTTCTTCCACGTGCGATTCTTGCGCTTCTCATGGAACCTCTGAAGACGCAGCTTCCGTGCTGCTGGGCTGTACGAGCCAATCTTCTTCCCGGTCGTTTTCGACGATGGGACACTCGTTCCAATGCTTAACACGCTGAGTACCGGGTCTACCGACGAACTTACTGGTATCGACGATGTGCAGGTACTTGCAGCAGATACTTGATCTCGCTCCTTGCAAAGCTCTTTCGAAGCAAACGAGCTGGCTGTCGTAGAGCAAGGAACAGCAGCGGCCTTAGAACTCGCAGCTGCTGTCGACGCACAACTTGCCATCTCCTCTCTTTCCTGTGTTTCTGCATCTTTCTCAGCGGCAAAAAGACTCGTACGCTTCCTACTTGAAGCGCTGGTTGGCGACGGAATCGTAAAATTCATCGTGTCAAAGCTCATGAGGAGCTTCTCGGCGTCCTTGGCATTGTTGCTTGATTCCAAGCGGATGTAGACCGGATCAACTATATGTGCAATCAATCACATGCACAAAACGACAAGACGTGAGCACGCAATCGTCTAAGCTCACTCGAAACGGGCACTTTCTCATTGCCTGAGCTAACAAACAAACACACACACAGCAAAAGAGCAAAAGAACTAACCGAAGGTCGAAGCCATCTCGGCCACGTCTTCAAAGTCCAGGCCACTGCCTCGCAAGAAGGATGGATGGAAGCCAAAGTCCGTGCCGTCGTGGTCGTGAGCCAGGGCGTCCATACTGAGTGTCAAGTCCATCTCGTCGTGGTTGACCCAGTCAATGTCCTGATTTAAGCAGTCGTCAAAGTCCATAGCACGGACGTAACAGTCGTCACTAGCACTTCCTGCTCCTGCTCCATGGAGAGAGACGACATCACACTCTCGCACCTTGTTCCCGTCCTCCCGTCGCACCTTCTTCTTCACGTCTGATTCTCCGTCTATTGCCGATGGTAAGGAAGTCTGCGAGCGCTTATTACGCTGGGTACTGAGCTTCTCGTGGGGTGATAAACACATGACGGACTTGGTCTCTTTAATGGTCCTCAGCGACTCGACCATGTGACAAAAAGGGCTCTTTAGCGTGAATTTAACGACGGGTAGAGGAAGGTAATAGAGAGACGACGACGATTGGTGTCGACGTTGTCAAAGATATGACTGACTATCTGATTGACTGATTCCGTGACTGACGGGTTACGGTACGTGTGTAACCGCTCACTTACTTGTCGCGTTTGCAGAGGATTGCAAAATGGCCAGCGTAAAGAGCCCCTGGGCAAGAAAAAAAGCGAATCATGGAGAAGATAAAAGAACGGATATAAAAAGCAGGGACATGCTAGCGCTTTGCGATTGGTCCGCTCACTGGACGAACAGCCTCGAGCACCTGATTGTGCGTCTGCGTGAAAAAAGCTGGCTTTTAAGCCAATAGGAGACGGAATTGCAAGAGAGCTGGTCGATTCGTACGGAGCTTACCCATAATCCCTGCCTTCGAGCATAGACCGAGATTCGATACGTCAAGGTCGGGTCCGCCTGGATAAAACAATATTTCGAAAGAATAAAATAGGTGGATACTTATTTGTCTTCGTGAAAACTATTTGATCGAGCAACCGGAACATGGTAGAAAGGACGTATATGGATCGTGCATTCCACATCTATTGCTAGGTGAGCCTGTTTTGCGTGGCTTGGATGTGTCAACGACAGCGAATGCGTGCATGGACCCAGGCATGTTCGCTTGCATGCAACTCGGCATGATAATTTCTGGTGTTTGCCGAGCACTGATCGGCAATTTTGAATTCGGTTGGTCAGGTCTTAGCGGGAAAGGCACGGCGTGTCAAGAAAAGAGCCTTTAGTTGTCAGGCGTCCCGGCTTTCGCATTCAGTCGCAGTCAGTCGCAGCCTGCTCGCACCGAATGTTGTCACGTGGAAGGCCTTCCCTCCGTCTGGGCGGTCTTGGTTTTGAGCAGTATTTCTATCGTTGTACAAAGCGCGTTCTCGGTCTATCGTGCTGTCGTGGCAACGAAGCCCTTGAAAAGAGAGACTGACTCGTTGATGTGGACATTGATAATCGACGTTGATGATACCTTCAGTAGCATGCTGAACTTCGATATCCAATGAGTGGACTTTCAAGGCCTAGAGCTTGCACTACTGAAGTGCAAGGAACAAGAAGCCAGGGCCGTTTACGCGATCAATGATGAGCTCTCACTTCTTTGTGCTCTTGCTTTCAATGAAAAGGCGTACGAGAGACTATCTCGAACGTACCCTCACATTGCATTGCACGTGATTACAAAGTCGCAGCAGCCGACCGACCGGGCCGGTTTTTGTACGTTAGAGTGTACGGCCGAATTGCGTTGGACTTTCGACTAGATTAGAGTAGTCCTACGGCGATTAGGTATGTTGACTATGGTCTTTTCATAGCTCCACCCTTTCAATAATGGCACTTTTTCTGAATGATACATAAGCAGTTTTGTGGGTCGGCTGACGTGGCATCCACTGACTATGACTTGGATTCTTTTATCTGCGCAAATCAGGCTGTCCGAGCTGAAAATCAGATTGACCAGTCTGTCGTCAAATGGGCGTGTTTTCACCAAAGCGGCTGCTTTGTTTGCGATCCGTACCCGGGGCGGATGCGTTCAGAGCTGCGGCAAAAGTGACGCCGCGAATACGTTCCGAGATCTGATAAAAACAACGTATGTTGTGCCTTGGAAAGTATCGACCTCAGCATGTTACTAGTCGCGGGGGCGAAGCCGACACAATGAAGTCGTCTAAAAGGTTCGGAGATATCTGGTAACATCAAGATGTGTTGTCTGATGGCAAGCTCCCGCATCTTGCACCCGAGCAAGATTAACACTGCCCGTGACCAGGCGTTTTGTCGCTTGCAATCAGAAATAGGTGTAGCGTAGCAGCTAACCAAAGTATAGACGGGAACATGCCGATGCTCGGCCTGCACGGCACAAGTCGACGAAGGTGAGGCTGACCTAAAGACTTGGTACAACTTCGTGTGTGTAGGAGACATCTAAATTTGTCTTCTGCATAGCTGATAAATAGACAGGTGTATACAAAAACACCGAACTAATTTACAACACCAGGTCAGCTTTTGAGGGTCAATCTACAGTCTTGTACGCGCATGGACGTACTGAAGGAACACCACCAGGTCTGTTCCATACTGACGTAGTTCCCATTCGTTTATCATGGCAAGCGATGCACAATCATTCCTGAAACGTGAGTATACAACCATCTTGACCACTCAGCCAGATTACAAAATCAACCGAATGTTTTGCCGGTATTCGTCGGTGACTATGCTTCGTTTAAAAACCTGTAGATCAATATCGTGGCGGAGGTGCGGTAACATCAGTGGTGAAAGACCTGCAGTAACACACCAAGGAAAAAAACAAAAGGGAAACGTGCACGAAAAAAATGCAAAACGTCAATTATCTAATAAATCTATGTCTAAAAGTGATTTGTTTACGAAACATTGATTTGTTTCTGACAAAGTTAAAGCGTCATTGAAATAATAGGCAAATAGGCAGAGTTATTGATATACATAGTAAGTAATTAAATGTTAATATCTAACACCATAATGACATATATTAGTGAAACAGTGGTCGCTCCTAAAATATTACTTTTACGACAGTAAGTAAAATCATCTTCGGAACTATTTAATGATCCAGTAAAGCTTGCACAAACTAATAACAAAACGAGCACGACTTCACCAGAATGAACCCTTCAAAACAAAAACGTTGCGTGACATTACTGAAGTGTTAGACCTCTCTTTAATGGTGCTAATTGCAAGATAGAATTTAAGTTTCAGTCCCTAGTTGGCTATCAATGTGCTACATCTTTGTCAATCCTTCTATAAACCTTTTCCATGACGTCAATTCTGTGACGTCAGGTCTTTAATGACGCCTTCTTAGATGATCGAGTTGTAGTCTTCTCAGCACATCCGATTGACTCGTTATATATGGCACATCAAATGCCTTGTCGGTCCCAAAGTACTTAAAATGAAGAGTATTGGTTGGCTTCGTCATCACGTCTGCTAACAAATCTTGCATCGGACAGTACTACAGAAGCACTTCGCCAAATTAAACCTACTCGCGCGTAAAATAGTATAATTGTCGATGTGTTTTTTCCGCTTGTGGAACTCCAGATTCTCGGCTAAGGCAATTGATACTTGTTATTTTTTGTATACCTTGATGAATTTATCGCTTGATATTTCTCCAAGCTTGCATAAAACAACGCAAGCCACACTGCTTTCTACTTTCATGTAACGGGTTCAGCTGACAATATTTGGTGCTAAAATTAAATAAGAATGAAAATTATTTTTTTTTAGGGTCCGCTGTTTACAACTTCTTCAGCTTACTAATTCTCCGTTCACCATGATAGCGTTGCCGCTTACGCTTTGTCTTAATGCGATGTCTTCTGACCAGTCAGCGTCGGAAAACACGTGCATGCTGTTACAGTATCCATTCGTAAACTTAAGACCATGTGCGGGTGTCTCTTAAAGGCACATCGTCATACGTTGAAGCGCTTTTCGATGAGTTGAGCATGTGTCAGATGCAAACTGAGATAATAAATCCACCGTAGCGGCGGGTATCTGGACGTGTAGAGGCCATAAGGTACATGATAACGCCAACTGCACTCCGATATAGCCCGTTAAACACGACGCCTTCGTGCTCACAACCTTGCTCACACATATTATTAGGTTGTAACGGATCACTGACGAATACGAACTGGACAAACCGTTAGAGTTAACTTTTACTGACAAAATGAAGTTCAGTGCCCTGCTAGGTGTAGACACTAGACGGAGGAAGGTAAATGACCAAGATGAAGACTAGTCGTGGTCCAATGTAACTGGGCACACTTTGTCTGGGTGCCACGAAACTTCACGTACACTAGTACGTGCAGAAGAAGCTAATCTACTTGAACGACTCGGTCAAGTAAAGGCAAAAGAGAACTGTATTTCATATAGTTAAGCTATCAATATAAGTTTAATCTTTATCTAAGTATGTTAAACTAAGTCGTCGTATGACGACAACCTGCTCACCAATCATTGCGCGCGTCTAGCAGCGATGGGTGGTTTTCTATAATTGATGCATCTTTTATCAACCAATCTTTGTGCGCGCATGAATATTATCAAAGGGGATAATATTCCTTCAATATTATCCATCTCGGATGATATTGGTAGAATATTGTCATGCTTGACAATATTCCAACTGACACCGTTTAGTGTCAATTTCATGTAACGGGCTACTTCGTTACATCACCCCCCCCCTTAACCATCAATCACCCGTTGATTGAATTAGAATTGATTGGGACACGGTGACCACCGTTGGATCATTCTGGGAAAGGGAGCAGTTGTTGGTCAAATTCCATTTATTTGCCAATCCAACGCATGGTTTTAAAATCCATACGAGTTGCTACTGTAGCAGCAAAAAGGGCGGCTGCACGCATGCGTGCAGCTGGAGAGAGCACTTCTCACACCTCAGCAGCAGGGTGATATGTCGCCTGATGTTGTGAATCGTCCACGTGGTGAGTCACCACGTGCGACAGGCATACCGCTGCGTCTGCAGCGGGTAATACGAGTCGTAAACAAGATGAGTCTAAAAAAGAGCTCGTCTATTCCGGCGAGTCGGATGATGTATCCGGATTAAAGGCGACGCCTCACGCCTTTGGATCACCCGAGCCGGACACTGCAAGAGCCAGGCTGGCTGGCTCTGGTCAACGTGGCGGTATCATGTCCGAGATCTTCGGATCGAGCGATTATTCCGAAGAATCTCCGCTTCACGCAAGTCCACCCAATGATAGGACGCGTGGGGATGGTGGTGATGCACCTATACGTCACCACGAGCAAAGTAACTCGGGGGATTGGGGTGTCACTGGTGTCAGCGCTCACGCTGAACACAATTAAGAGGCTAGGGACCGAAATGTCCTGCGCCACGCTCCTCGGGCTGAGTCTCCGTGGATGCCGTCATCCAGAGAGTTGGACCGGTTGGCCGGCATGACTACTGAACGGGACCAAATTCCGTCGTTCGACTGTAGGAAGATCTTCCCTCATAACTCCAGCACGGAAACTATCCGTGCTGAGGAAAGTGCTTTACCGATGCATTTTTAAACATCGGTGGTACAACGGCAGCCGTGTTCGAGAAGGTAAAGCCTTGGTGCAAGTATGGAATGCCCTCATTCATGACATCGAGTGCATTGGCCGTGAGGCCTGGATCGGTAAACTTGATGCAGCTCGCATCAGTTTTGAGAAACGCAACCCAGTCGGGACGCGATACAAGTTGCACCGGCTGTCAAGAGAGACAGAATTACCCTGTCTCTCGTGGGGTGATTCGTGTCCAGGTTACCTGAACAACTCGAACCTTGCCCCTATGAAGGCCTACCTCCCTAATGTTCCCTACTAGAGGGCGCGCATCTCTTCCAAGATGGCCGAAGGGATTGACACCTTGCAATCCCTGTACTCGCGTTCGGTGAGGTCTTTTTCCGACGACCCTTCTTCGAACGCAGCGGGTGGGTCTCGTCATAATGCTCGACGAGACCCGGAAAATCAACAATCAGCTGGGCACGAGGCTTCCAGCTGTCCCACGCCGGTGGATAGCCACGCCATCGGACGCGGTAACTCACCCGGACGCCATTCAAGTCGCGGTGGTTCAAAATACGCTCCACTAGAAATAGTTGACTACCGCCTGAGTCCACCAAAGGATGTGGTGGCGGCGGGAACACCTTATCCGGCTCGAGGGTCGTATCAGCTTGATGTTCAGGATCTGAACTGTGTATCGGAACAGTTGCAAGATGACCTGGATCATGAACGGACTCGGCTTTATGAGCTTCAGGATCTTTTAGGGGATAACTACAGTTCCCTAACGCACGATCGTTTCGACAATCCTGCCGCTTTTGCGTTCGCGCAACTTGAGAACGAACTTTCGACTCGTTCTCTTCGTGACGAGCTGGCTGTAGCTCGTCGAGACATCTCTGAACTGCGTGAACAGGTCGCTTTGCTAGTCGACAAGACTGGCTCGCTGAAACGGGACAACTAGAAGGTGGTCTCGGCTCTCGACCGCGGAGGTATTCTTCGCATCTCGAAACGGGCTCGTACTGATAGTACGGGCGGAGACGACCAACGTAATACGTAGGATGCGTACGCATCTTACGGGGCAGTTCAATCGTGCATGCGTTGCTCATTCGGCGCAACACACGAAATGGACCAATGTACTTGGGCAGTAATTTACTGCTGCCTACGTTTGTCACTACGTGTTTCGGTAGTTTTACTGTAGACAGTAAAACTAGGTCTCCTTTATCAAATGAAAGGACATTTGCTCTTCCATGTTTGTCTGCGTTTCTCTTCTGTCTGTCTAGTGCATCTGCAATAGAGTCTTGAACTAAGCGGACAACCGCTTCGCGAGTCAGCAGAAATTCCTCTCCTGATTCATCCTTGTCACCAGAAGTGCGCTTCGTGTGCACTGCTGAGTGGACGTTGTCTTCACCAGTGAGGGTGTCATCGTCCTCACTTTGGAAGTCATTGGCGATGCTAGATGTACCAGCATCGTCTTTATCATCATCATCATCATCGATGTCGATCGCATCGACATCGGCATCCATCACGTCGGCACCATTGTCGACGGGTGATGAGCAAGAACCATATCGGTTTTTATTCAAGCGAGTCCCCCCATTGAACTAGAGTCACACTCTAAGAAGGCGGGTAAAAGTGGATGGCGTAGGCCATTCAGGAAGAACGGTGTATACGATGTCGACGCATGCACCAAGTTGTTGATAGCAAATTCCGCCATCGGCAAGAACTCACTCCAGCCCGTAGACGAGTGGACATACCCTCGAAGTATCTCTTCGAGGACGCGGTTGACGCGTTCCGTCTGACCATCTATTTCTGGCTGGTCAGAAGTCGATATTGTCAAGCGTGTTCCAAGTGAACGGAACACGGATTGCCAGAACTCCACTGTTAAGCGGGGGTCCCTATCAGACACAAGTTCACGGGGTAACCCGAGAAGTTGGAAGATAGTATCGATGAAGACACGAGCACAGCCCTGGGTATTATTGACTCGGTACAGCAACAAGATGTACCATCTTGCTAAACCGATCAACAAACACAAGAATGCCAGTATTCTTGTGAACGTCTTCGGAAAACCCAAAGACGAAGTCCATCGATACGGACTGCCAACACTCTGCCGGAACCGGAAGAGGCTGTAAGGGTGCGCGGGATGAAGGTTTAGGCTTCAACCGTTGACAAACTTCTCAAGCGCGAATGCACTTGCGCACAAACTTATACTGGCGGGGCCAGTAGACGTAACGACTCACCGTGAGGTAAGTCTTTTCTCTACCGCGATGTTCACTTGTTGAGGCATCGTGACACTCATACATGATGCGCAGTCGCAAATCATCATGAGCGGGAATGAAGACACGAGGTGTGTCGCCGTCGACTCCTGCATAGTATATCAGTCCATCACGAACAGAATGCCGTTCGGTTGAAGAGCGGTAGCTTCACTACACGGATTTAAGACACGTAATCCATCAATTGTAGAAGAGACTCATCTTCTGCGTAAGCTTTTCGCACGTCTTCGAGTGGATTCGACGACGGAAAACTTACTGTTAGTGTTGCTACAGTGGGATCACTTCTATTGTTGTGTTGAGCAGTCGGCTTAGAATCGGGCCGGCGAGAAATAGCATCAGCGACGAAATTGAGTCTTTCTGGTTTACAATCGACGGAGAAGTTGTACTCCGCGAAGAAAGACAGCCACCTCGCCATTCTTTGCGAGAGGTGTGGACTGTTTACGGCCGTGCGTAACGACGCATGGTTGGTATAAACGATGAAGGGCCTATCTCCTAAGTGATGTACCCGAAACTTATCCAGTGCATAATTCATGGTAAGGATTTACTTGTCATGCACCGGTTATTTACGCTCAGCTGCTTCAAGCTGACGCGCTCGATAGCAGAGTACGCGCTCAACGCCGTCTGAGTCGTACTGCATTAACGCGCAGCCGATTGCAAAATCGCTGGCGTCACAGACCACATGGAATGGTCTGTCTTGGTCCGCAATCTCCAACACAGGCGATTGTACCAAGCTTTTCTTGATGCCTTCGAAGGAGTGCTGACAATCAGCGCTCCATGACCACCTCTCGTTTTTCTTTAGTAGACGAGAGAGATGTACGGTCATCTCAGCATAGTTGCGTGAGTACTTGTGCAATTATGCCACCAAGCCAAGGAACTTTCGAAGTCCCTTGACGTCGACTGGCACAGGCCAGTCACTAATCGTCTTAATCTTTTCCGGATCAGGGCGTACACCGTTTTTATCCACGATACAGCCAAGAAGTGCTATTTTGCTTGTTCCAAATATACACTTCTTGAGATTGGCATACAATTTATGCTTTCGCATGATTGTAAGAACCTGTCGGACGTGGATTCTATGAACCTCCACGTCCGTCTTTCCACCCATAGCCTGGCTATGGACGAAGACATCGTCGAATTTTAATTCGTTGCGAAATCGCGCACCAATCGCAACAGATTTGTAACATGTCTATTAAAAGTATTAGGGGCGTTACTTAGCCTCTGTGGCATCACTCGCCACTCCCAGAGCATACCACTGGGGGTGCTCACTGCCGTGTAAGCGATATCCCATCCACGCATGAGGATCTGATAGAATCCATCTATCAAAACCATGGACGAAAAGGTGGTTCTTTTTGCCATACCATCTATGATGACATCCTTTCTTGGGATCGGCGTTTGAGCCGGAACCGTTGCAGCAATAAATTTGTTGAATGTGTGCACTATATACCACCCTCCTGTGGCCTTTCTCACACAGAAGGTCGGAGAGCTGTGTGGGGATGTTGAATTCCCTCACACGACCAGCCGCTAATCGATCGACAAATTCTTTGCCGATCGCTGTTACCTGTTCGCGAGGAAGTGGCCACTGCTTCATGGCACAGTATTTCGAACCAGGTTTCAGTTCGATCTCATGCCGAGTGCCTTTGTCCTTGGGCAGCTCGCATGGCACATGTTCCTCCAAAAAAATCACTGAATTCAACCAAATCCTCATACAAGTATTTGTCTTCAAAGACTCCCAAGATTGAGACGTGTATCGCTCAATCCGGGTCTTCTCATCGAAGACACTCTTGTCCATCGATAAGCTACTGAGAACCGTTCATTCTTAGCAAACACTTGTGCCGACCGAATATCGGCGACATACTCGTCCTCTGTGACGAGTACGCAGATCTGCTTGATCTTGTCACTACGCATATCTCGCAAGAATCTTTTAGATTCTAGCGTTGGCAGCTTGACCACCTCCGAAGCTGACTTCGGGGGCGTCACCAGATCAAGTGTATGAGCGCCTACACTTGATCCGTCATTCACCAAGCCGTTAACTGAATCGGTGATTTCCTTGGAAACCACATCCGCAGGTGGTTGAGGATCCACACCCTCAGCATATCTCTCGGAGTTATAGCTCTAAGGAACGCCATAATTTTCTTCCGTTACGGGTACTATCACATTCACGTCCTCTTCGATCGACTCTCTTTCCGTCGAGCGGGCTTGCTCTACGATCTACTCTCTGATAGTCGATCTCGCTTCAACGTGTTGTCCATCCTGAACAATACTATTCTCTCTTCTCGGTTGAACCCTTCTTGGTGTGCATCCGTGTTCCAGTCCACTCAATCTCTTGGAGTGGTATACCTTCGGCGCAGCATGTGTCTTTATACAGGTACCGGAAGCTGGTTCCACAGTGCAGTGGCCTTCTACACTGTGATCTTGTACAATCATACTAACGACCGTACCACAAGTGAGGCCATCACACTCACTCGTAGTACATCCACACGCTTGTGGACGCTCCAAGACGTTCATCAGATGGCCATCTGACGAACTACGACAGGCATCTTCACGGATCGTTGCTTTCAGCTGATCCATGGATGGTACTTTCTAAGCCATGGCAGACCAAGGATGACATCAAATTCGTCTTCCAAATTGAGTACGATGAAGTCATTATCGTACTGCTTTCCCTCTATCGTGTAGTGGATTTTCACTACACGTTTGCTCACTGTTACGGATGCGCCTACAGCAAGGCACACTACCATCCTCTTTCGAGGGAACTCTCGCTCAACAAAGTTGAGCATGCTATCTTTTAGCGACTGGCAACGGATAAAACTGTTCGACGCCCCACATTCAACTAGGGCGCGAAGTAACATTCCACTTGTCACTTCGATCTTCAAATTGATGAGAGACTACTTATCACTATGGGCAGTAACACACAGCGACTGTGTGTTAAAAGCAATCTTAGTCAAGAGTACTGCAAATCATCTTGATATTGCTGTATCAGCAGGGTGCTCTGCCTCTACTGACCCTGTTCATTTTTTTGGCGGTACGACCTTCCGTCGTGGTTTAGCGACATGGTCGGACCCGCGCCTTGGACCTTTCATTGACCAACGACGGTCATCACGTCCTGTGTTTGGAAGTGTTGCGGTGCTTGGGAAACTACACTCATGACCGTAGTGTCCAATCTTCTGAAAGCGATGGCATCTTGCCGTTCGCTTGTGACTCAGAGAGCGAGAGTGTCGCTCTAGGTGCAACAGAGGTCCATTAAGTCGGGATTTTCTGTTTCCTGTCATCTCGTCGGACGATAGTTTGACGAATAGCCTGAATTGGTGTCAGGCTGAAGTCTTCTTGTCCCGCAAACTCTATCGCCTTTTCTAGCGCATGGAAGCCCTCTCGGAACACGTACGTCTTCACCGGCCCATCCACAAGGCCGTAGATGAACACGTTAATGAGTGTGTGCTCATCAACAGGGTTTTCCGTAATACTACTCGAAAGGTAGCGCATGTGCTGTGCGTAAGCGTGCACGTCACGCTTACCTTGCTTTAGCCTCAAGGGTGCAGAGCGTGCTCTGTACTCGGCTCTCGGGGGCTAAAACGTCTCGTTAAGCCGATACTTTAAGATCTCCAACGACTCAAACACGTTTGGGTCGTGAAGCTTGAGCCCTAAGACCCAGATCTTTGCTCGTCCTGTCAAATTTGACAGGGCGAAGGTGACTTGCATCTCGTCACCCTCGATGTGACGGGCCCTGGTAGCATCGTCTGACTCGACGAACCATCTCAAACGGGAATCTTCATCGGTTCCCTTGTACCTTGAGATATCAACCTTCAAGGATTCGGGTCGACACATGTGCGTCGGCCCGCCCATCGACTGATGAGAGCCTTGCTGTTGTAGCAATGCTATCTTCTGTCTTTCGATAGCAAGTACCCCTTGTAGGAACTTGTTGATAGCAGCATGTTGCTGGTCTCTGCTTAGAGACTCCAACATATCACTGATGGCGTGTTCGACCATGAGCACACTCGTGCGGCCGACAACCTCCCATTCTGAGTCAATCAGATGGGAGTAGCCTTGACGTGAAAGCTGTCGTCTTCTACGTCCAACATGTTCATGTTGTACGGACACTTAGAAGTCTTTTGACGGACTACAAAGTGCTACCAGGTGTAACTGGGCACCCTTTTTCTCGGTGCCACGAAACTATAGTTAATCTATCAGTATAAGTTCAATAATAATCTAGCTATATTAAACTACGTCGTCGTATGATGACGTCTACTCACCACCCATTGCGCGCGTCTAGCAGCAATTAGAGGCTTTTATTATCGCAATATGAACCAACGAGTGGACCCTTCGGTCATCCCAACAATATCGCTATACTTAATAAAACAATACAAAGGACATTCAACATAATATTATTTATTGCCAGTTTCTTCTTGTTGACAATTTGATGTAACGGGATACCCCGTTGCATCACCCCGCCTCCCCCCAAAAAATATCACCGTAGGACTAACAAAATATGGTATCCACCCGTTGTACACCATCGGGACGGGGAGAACTTGTTTGGCCAGATAATCTTACTCTGACATTCCCTCGCATGGTTGACATGTCTATGTGAGGTGACTCAAAGACAGCGCAGCCTGGTGCTGCACCAGTCAATGAGGCAAAGGCTCATCGTGTGCTGCTCGTTTTCTGCCTGAAGCACCTGTTGCTGCAGGCGCACGTGGTATCGCAATTTTTGCACACGGTGACTCCGAGGTGGACTTCAACTACTATGGCGAGCCAGATGTGTCGGACTCGGGAAAGGCTCCAGAGGCATGGTGATCACCGGCGGTGCCTCATCGTTCACCAAAGGGACTGAAGAACGAGCATAATTGTGGCTCACATTACAGTCTATTCGGCATTGACTATGAACTTGATGGTAAGTACCTACTACTCATCACAACGGTCATCGCGTGCGTCTTCGCGCGGGCGCGTTGTTGATGGCTTGCCCATGATTAATCTGAAAGCCGTGGAACCATCGAAGTTACCACATCGAAGCGTGATGATCTGAAGCCGTGGCGCTTGCCCGATTAGCTTATCAATAGCTTGTCTTATGAGACAAGCTTGCATCATCGAATTCCATTATTCGATGCGAGTGAGCTTCATGACTAGAGCCTTATTGTACTATCGATTCTTTATAGGAGTACCGAGATAAAGACTTCTTCAGCGCGAGCAACTTTCGCGCTGAAGACGTCTTTATCTTAGTACTTTCCTAAAGCATCGATAGTTTAATAAAAACCATAAGAGTGATAAGAAATCGCTTTTAGCAGCGTGGAACGCGTTCGTTCATGATGTAAACGTTTTGGACGATAAGCGTGGCTTCAAAAACTTTATACGGTCCGCGTCAAGGTCGAGCAATGAACGCCAACCGGTGCAAGGTACCGGCCGCGTCAACTGTCACGTGAGACAGGCATTTATTGCTTCACGTGGGGTGAACCCTGTGCGAGTCGTGACGAGAACTCGCAACGCGCAAAAAGAGGAAGCCTTTTCCCAAAGTATGCCCCTAAGGAAGGGCACACATCTCAGCTCAGATGCGGGGCGCGGTTGCAAACTTGCAATTCGTCCGAAAGCGCGTTTTCGTTGATGGTCCCGAGGTCCAATCGGATGAGATTCTTCCTACTGACGGACAATACCATCAATACTATCATTTAGCTGGTACAGAGGCTCCCAGCTGTCACAAAAGGGTGGGCACTCCCGCCAGCGGACAAGGTAAGCTGTCCACTCCCCGTTCTTCACGCGGTTGGTCAAAATATGCCCCACGTGAAAGCGTCGACCACCGCGAGAATTTTCAGCGGCTCCGGTGGAAGTAGAAATACAGGGTCCATCTTAACTGCCGGTTTTGCTCAAATTTTGCGCTCTGCACGAACGCTACCTGACTGAATTATGGACAGACGTGGAGCACGAGTACAACCGTCGGCACGACTTGCAGATGACCGTGCGACGTCTTTGTTTCGATCGGTCCTTCTACCGATTGGAAATCGCGTTCGTTTGGCTTAAGAAAGATTGCAAGGTTCGTCACTTGCGCGAAGAGCTAGAGGCGGCTCGTCACGAGACCTCGTAACTGACAAATCAACATGATAGTTTGGAACTTGATCACAAATTATGTTGGGAGTTCTTAAACGTGCTGGTCACATTCTTTCTCGCAAGTGACCTCATATTGATAGTAGGGGCGGAGAAGATGAACGTAGAAGGTAGGATACATGCATATTCTGCGAGGCAACTCGATCATGTACGCATCGCCTCGTCGATGAACTCACAAAAGGAACCAATGTATTTCTTCAAATATTACTACCACCTACATCAGTGACTGCATGTATAAGTAGATTTACCGTAGACAATAACGCTAGGTTGTCAACTTCAAATGAAAGAACATTTGTCCTTCTTTTCTTGTCTGTGTTTCATTCCGGCGGTCCACCGCATTTGCGATGGATCCCTGAGCACAACAGACCACCGCCTCTCGAATCAAAAAACGTTTTTTACTGACTCGTCATTATGTTGATTAGTGTGCCTTGCGCTCACTGCTTATAGTTCTTTTATTCTTTAGCGAGGGTGTCTACTTCCTCGCTAATATGGTCATTGACGATGCTGAATATACCAGCATCGTCATCACTGTCTTATAAAGCAGCAGCGTCATCGCTACTGCTAGGCTCGACTTCTTCTATGTCTCCATTGACGACATCGGCATCAAACGTATCGGCGTGTGCGATGATAAGTGATGAGCAAGAGCATAAGACGGTTTTGCTCAATTGTGTCCCTCTCTTCTAAACCAAGAGTCACTCTGTTTGTAGGTCGGAATACGTGGGTGGAGTAGGCCATTCACGTAAAACTATGTATGCGTCGAGGACGCATGCACTGAGCTGTTGACGGCGAATTCGGCAATCGGCAAGAACTCACTCTAACACGATGAAAAGTGGACTTATCCTCGAATTAGTTCTTCGAGGACACGATTGCACGTTCAGACTGACCGTCTGTTTCGGGATAATCAGAAGTTGACATCTTTAACCGTGTTCCTAATGTGCGGCACACAAATTGCCAAAACAAATCGCCATTAACCGAGGGTGCGGTCGGACACGTGTTCACGGGGTAACCCGTAGAGTCGAAACACTGTGTCGATGAACACACGAGCACACCCTTGTGCGGTGATCGACTCAGATTCTACTTCAAGATGAAAAGTCTTTCTTATGCGATCCACGAACACAAGAATACCATTATCCTTGTGACTTCCTTCGGGAAAATTAAGGACAAAGTCCATAGAACCGGACTCCTAACACTCTGTTGGGACTGGCAGAGATTGCAAGAGTGTACGGAATGTAGAACTACGCTTTGCTCGCTGACATACCTCGAAAGAACGAATATGTTTGCGGACATATTAATACCAGCGGGGCCAGTAAAAGTCACGACTGACCGTAAGGTATGTCTTTTTCTCTATCGCGATGCCCGCCTATTGGCGCATCGTGACATTTGAACATGATGCCCAAGCGCTAATCCTCATAGTCGGGCAAGACCACACGAGGCGTGTCGTCGGCAACTGATGCAGCAGACCATCGCGATTCGTATACCCATTTAAAAGGAACGGTATAAAGCCGGCAAATCTGACAAAATTACTGGGTATGGATTTGCAAGGTGATACATAAACTGGAGGATATTCTAATTTTCTGTTTATGCTTGCCGCACGTGGATGACTAATGGCGACGACGGCACAAAAATGACAGTGCAGCAACATTAGGCCTTACTATTGACGCGTGTAGTTGGCTCGAAATCGTGCCAACACGAAGTCAAAGTAGTGAAGACGTTAAGTCGTCCTGATATATACCCCACGAAGAGGTTGTACTCCGCAAAGAAAGACAATTATCGCGCCAATCTTTGCGAGAGGTGTGGACTGTACACGGCCGTGCGCAATGACACATGGTTTGTGTGCACGAAGGACGGTCTACTTACTAGGAGATGGATGTGGAGCTAAGCCGGTGCATAATTCATAACAAGTAGTTCATTGTCATGCACTATTTAATCGATTTTAGCTGGTTGCATCTGACGCACCTGATAGCAGACTATGCGCTCCGCGCCATCTGTGTCGTACTGCATTAACTCACAGCCTATCGCAAAATCGCTGGCGTCCCCGAACACATGTAATGGGCTGGCCTGGTCGGCATTAGCTAAGATAAGCCATTTCTACAAGGTATGCTTGATACATTCAAAGGAAAGCTGACAGGTTGCGTTCCATGACCACTTCACATTTTTCTTCGGTAAGCAAAAAAGATGAAAAGTTATCTCAGTGAAGTTGCGTGAGTACTTTTGCGAAAACGCCGCTATCCCAAGGCACTTACGAAGTCCCTTGGCATCGACTAAAACTGTCCAGCCGTTATCGCCTATATCTCCTCGGGATCAGGCGTAGACCGTACTAATCCACGATGCATCCAAGAAGTTGTACTGTTCTAGCCGCGAATATACACTTCTTGAGGCTGGCGTACGACTCA